CAGTTATTTCAAGTAAAATTCATTAGTTTTCCTTTTGTCAGTCTCAGGGCACCTGGTGTTTCCTTATCTCTGGGAATTCCTATCAGATTAGGTGCAACAGTCATGCATGGATGTTTGTACTGGTTTCCACTCCCAGCCCACCTCTAGATTGTAAACTCCTAGAGAAAATCAGGGTCTTATTCATATTATCTTGTTTATTACCTGCTATGGATTGAATTCTTCCCCCTCACTAAGTTAATATGTTGAAACCCTAACACCTAAGGTGACTGTATTTAGAGATAGGGCCTTTAAGGAGGTAATTAAGTTTAAATGAGGTCATGAGGGTGGGGCTCTAATCAGATAGGGCTGGTGGGTTTTTTTGTTTGTTTGTTTTTTGTTTTTTTTTGTTTTTTGTGGTACGCCCGGCCTCTCACGCTGTGGCCTCTCCTGTTGAGGAGCACAGGCTCCGGACGCGCGGGCTCAGCGGCCATGGCTCACGGGCCCAGCCGCTCCGTGGCATGTGGGATCCTCCCGGACCGGGGCATGAACCCGTGTCCCCTGCATCGGCAGGCGGACTCTCAACCACTACGCCACCAGGGAAGCCCAGGACTGGTGTTTTTAAAAGAGGAGGAAGAGACAAAAATTCTCTCTCTCTGCACATAGAGGAAAGGTCATGTGAGGGCACATCAAGATGGTAGCCATCTGCAAGCCAGGAAAGGAAGCCTCACCAGAAACCAATTTCATGGCACAGTGAACTTGGACTTCCAGCCATTAAAATGGTGAGAAAATAAATTTCTATTGTTTAAGCCACCCAGTCTGTGGTATTCGTTATGGCAGCCCTAGCCGCCTATACCTTACCTAACATACAGTATTTTGCATATCATTTCTAGTCAGTAAACACTTGCTTATTTCTTATTGACTGTAACTAATTATTTTCATGGGGAAGAATTTGGTTTTATAATTATCTTACATTCTTTTATGACAGAAATCATCTCTAAGAGTTTATTTAAATGTCTCTCTCTAACATCTTTTTCCAAACGCACACAGGCACACACATATAAGCTTAGCATTAGCTATTTTGAGTGCACAGAATGGCCAGTAAATTTGCTTTTGTAATCAGAGAAAGTACTTAATTTCAAATTGTTGATAGACAGAAGATATTAGAAACATATATATGTTTCCCTAGAATCCTACCCCTTGGAAGATATGTGTCGTCTTAGTTTCCTATTTCCTCCAATGTCCACTTTTTGATATCTGAGTCTAACTTTTTGCTCAATTTTTGTCATTGAGGCAGTCACCCCAGCACCAGTTCAGACAAGCTAATGTGGAAGAAAGGGGAGGGGGCATTTAAACAAAATTTGTTCTTTTATTCATTCACTCAGTCATTCAAATCACTTTTAGAGAATCTACTCTTGCCAAGCACTATTTTGGGAACTATAAATATAGGGATAAAAAGACAGAGTATGTCCCTACTTTCATGTTGCCAGTATGATGGTAGAAAATGCAGGCAATGTATGAAGGAACAAGCAAATAAATACAATTGTTCTAGACAGTGATAAGTTCCCTGTAACTCTTAAGACCAGCCCCCCTCAATCTCCCAGGTACTGGTAGAAGCCACCAGTTTAGGTTTCATAGATACTGAGGGGACCCAATAGTCTATCTAGTAAGTGGATCTTACTTGTGGCTGACACATATAATTTTTTCAATTTTAACATTTTATCCCTTTGGTTAAAATATATATCTCATTTATTTGAATGACAGGTATCTGGGATGCTGCTTTCATAGAGAGGAAATGTCAACTCACATGATCTGGAGGGGAAATTCTTAAAATTAAGACCTATTAAGAAAGGAGGTGTGTGCTCTTGGACAGCAACTTCTCTGGACACCTAGGAGATTCTTATATTAAAACATTATTTAAAAATCATACTTGCTACATCCGTGAAAAGTGAGATTCTTGGGTCGTATGAATATAGAAATAGATAATTCATGAGCAGAATACAAGTATAGTCTGTAATTGGAAGACTTCAGGATGCTTTTTTCTGCCTTAAGGGTATATATCCCTCTACTTATCATTCTCTGTAACACATAAGTAAAACTTTCAATTGCTTTTAATTACCCTCAGCTGACTGTTTCTCTTTGAACGCAATTCTATGCTTAGATAGAATTATGTGGTGTCCTACCTTTTTTTAGGGTTACAAATGACTTTCACTTTTCACTGTGTTACTCTTTAAAAAGGGGTCTGGAAATGTGTGCACATTTTAAATTCAAGGTTTGTGGAAGGTTATATTCTTTTTCTTTTCTTTTTCTTTTCTTTTTTTTTTTTTTTGTGGTACGCGGGCCTCTCGCTGTTGTGGCCTCTCCCGTTGCGGAGCAC